TTTTGGATGGAGCTCCGCTTTAAGACATGATATTGCTGATGGTCAGACATCGCTCCTAAGTCATTTTCAGTCCGTACAACGTTAATTAACAATGTTTTAAAATTTTAATGGTGATGGGTGGCGGTGTATATTTGTGCACTGAAAAATCTTTTTCATTTTGTTGATTTTTTTCATGGTTCTGTAATAAAATTTGTTACCTAGTCAAACTATTGAAGAACTACCTTCTTTTTCAGGGCTTCTTCCCTTAAACTTGCATTATTGCTACATTTTGGATAATGTGATCCACACCTTATTTTGGTGTACTAGTGGACTTCGACTTTGCTCTTTGTTCTTTTTTTTTGGGGGGGGGGGGGGGGGGTTCTGCTGGGTTAACTGTATTACCATAAAAATATTTTATTAACATAATTCTGAAATAAAACAAATATGTTTGACATGTCGCAAGAAATGAAAGTAGAGCTTAGTGCACACAATGTTCCTAAAACCCATTCATTCTGCATTGCATTGCCATAGTAACCGTATTAGGAAGGCGACACATAGGAGAAGAGGAAACCTTAAACATGACACTCACTGGAAAAGAACAAGCACAGTTCTCTCTTTCACCACGTTTCTCCTTCTCTTCTCACAATATGGGTTAACTGTCACTTCAACATGTACAGGCTGACAGCTATAACTGACAAATCTAGAACAGATCAGCAGTCTCCCTGCATGAAACAGAAAGGCCAAGAACCCTAAAATAAGTAAATTTGGTACTGGGACCTATAAGGAATATTCCTACCACTTTGTTTTAATTAAAAATGAAATAAAATTCCAAATACAGTACACTGGCATACACAAAATAGGCAAAAAACACAAACTTTAGGAATGGAGTTAATCCTATTCAGCAAAATGCTGTATTATGGTGTCCGTTTATGAACCAGCAGTAATAGATCGCTGCTCAGTTCTCCGGCATTCTCAGAGAACACAGTTCTCCTGTGAATGCCTTTTATGAAGCAGTTCTCCGAACGAAGGGAGAACAGTCTCCAAACGCTGGAGAAAGCTCTCCAAACGCTGGAAAACGGCTGATTTTACTATAATCTCGCGAGATTACAATAAAAGATCAGTTTACTAAACAGAGGTAAATTATCTCTGCTTAGTTTGCGGTTCCTCCGATTCTCCAGCTCTGGGCTGGAGAATCTGGAGGGAGAACACAGATCTCCAGTGAAGAGCTGAACATGTTCTCCGCTGATCTCCTGAGTGTCATAAACTGTGAATGACCAGAGAATAGCTGCGATCCTCTGAATCGCAGCTTTTCTCTGTGTCATAAACGGACACCTATGTTTGGAAAAAGTCTTCCTTTGATTACCATGGACCACACAATCTCATGAAAGTCAAGTGAATGGAATTCTTCCAAAGCCTAGAGCATGCACATCAAAACATACGACAATGTATTGCGCTGCATGTACTATGGTGCAAATGAGTTTTCTACTTCTGTACATGTTGCTCCCTCCCTTCCCCTCTTGGCCCACCAGGGTGTCTGGCTGAGATGCCGCCAGAACTCTGAGTGACCGCAGGGAACAGGAGGATTTTTCCCTGACTGTGCTGATCATTGATACTCACTGCTGTCACTGATTATGTCAAGGCACTTTCTCACACATCGAAGGCAAAAGCTAGCTACAGTACCTTGGTAACATCAGGACCAGCACGGAAAGCCTCCAACACTCCTAAAAGTGTCAGAAAACTACAGGGCTATTACTGACAAAATGCATAATGAATTGCTATAACATGGGGATCATTGCTAATTTCAGTAATTGTATTGTGAAAAGCCTGAAAATTGTAATAAGTCAGGGACTCCTGAAAGTGGTATTAAATCCCAAAATAACAAAAAATGTAATATATTACTGCTTACCAATTCCTAAATGTGGTATCTGCATTACACTGTGTGCACAATTATTAGGCAAGTTGTATTCTTGAGAATTCATTTTATCATTGAACTACAGTGCTCTCGGTCAATCCAAAATGATAATAAACCTCAAACCTGAATATACAGTAAAAGTGAGGTTTTGGCTTTCCATGCGTGCACAATTATTGGGCAGCTATTAGTGCGCAGAATTATTATGCAACTAAATGAAAAACGAGAAAACTTGTTTATTATTCTCACTTTAACCTATAAAAATAAACTCCAAAATTTACAAACATTTCTGACATTTCAAAACCAACATCTGACAAATATAGCTACCCTTCTTTTCAATAACAGTCATAAGCTTTTTTTATTCATGGAGTCTGTCAGTTTCTTGATCTGTTGATGATTAACTTTTTGAACAGCAGCAACCACAGCCTCCCAGACACTGTTCAAAGAAGTGTACTGTTTTCCTTCACCGTAAATCTCCCATTTAAGAAGGGCCCACAAGTTCTCAATAGGGTTTAGGTCAGGTGAGGAAGGGGGCCATGTCATTATTCTTTAGTCTTCACTGGATGACCATGCAGTGGAGTACTTCAATGCATACGATGGAGCATTGTCCTGCATAAATATCACGGTCTTCTTGAAAGATGCAGACTTTTTCCTGTACCACTGCTTGAAGAAAGTTTCTTCTAAAAACTGGCAGTAGATTTGGGAGTTCATTTCAAGTCCATCTTCAACTTGAAAAAGTCCAGCTAGCTCATGTTACCTCCTCCCTCTAGATTGTAAGCTCCATGAGCAGGACTCTCCTAATCCTTCTATATTGAACTGTATTGTAATTGTACTGTCCCCCTTATATCGTAAAGCACTGCGTAAACTGTTGGCGCTATATAAATCCTGTAATAAAATAATATTCTTTAATAATACCAACCCATACCAATACCCTACCTCCACCTTGCTAGCATTTGAGTCCAAGTGGACAGCACAGTGGATAAATGGTTAGCACTTCCGCCTGGCAGTATTAAGGTTGTTGGTTTGAATCCCAACCATGGCACCACCTGCCTGGAGTTTGCATGTTCTCCCTGTGCCTGCGTGGGTTTCCTCTGGGTACTCTGGTTTCCTCCCACACTCCAAAGACATGCTGGTAGGTTAATTGGATCTTGTCTAAATTGGCCCTAGTATGTGTATGTATGAATGTGAGTTAGGTACTTTAGATTTTACACCCCTTGAGGGTTAGGGACTGATGTGAATGTACAATATATATGTAAATCGCTGCATAAATTGATGGCACTATATAAGTACCTGTAATAAATAAGCGGAGATCTGTGCCCCTTACTGATCCAGCCACGGGCCCATCCATCTGGTCCACTCATCTCATCAGTCCATAATACCTTTGATAAATCTGTCTTCAGATATTTCTTGCCCCTTGTTCAGTGTTAGTCCAGTTTCAGCCTTCCTTACCTTGGCCATGTCTCTGAGCACTGAACACCTTGTACCTCTGGGCACTCCAGGTAGGTTGCAGTTCTGGAATATGACAGCACTGGAGGATAATGGGTTCCTTGTAGCTTCACGTTTGATTCTCAAATCTTTGGCAGTTAATTTGTATCTTTTTTTCTCTCAACACGTTTCTTGTGACCCTGTTTACTATTTGAAACAAAACGTTTGATGGTTCTGTGATCAAACCCCAATATCTTAGCAATTTCAAGAGTGCTGCATCCTTCTGAAAGACAATTTTTGACTTTTCAGAGTCGAGTTAAATCTTTTTGTCCCATTTTGCCTGAGGAAAAGAAGCTGCCTAAAGATTATGCACACCTTGACATAGGGTGTTAATCTCCTTAGATCACACTCTCCCTCAATACACATCACCTGATATGCTTAAATCCAATAAGCATTCATATTTATACAACTTGGCGTTGGACAATATGCATAAAAATTATGATTTGGTCAAAATACTCACTTGCCTAATAATTGTGCAGACAGTGTAGTTTTTATTTTTTAGGCTTTTTTCCTCATGACTTTCACTGGAACGTACTTCCTGTCCTAGGGTGTCTCCAATACATTGGAGTAACAACTGAGGCTCCTTTGGACAGCAGCATTGTCCACATGTGGAGAGGGTTGAGTTAGATACACTAGCAGATTTAGATGAACTTGACTAACAAATTAGCTGAACCCCAGCTAACACTTTTCTGCAGTTACAGCAACAGGCATTAGTATGAACTATTCAACCCTCTTCTGGGAAGGCTTTATCCCAAAGGTGTTCTAAAGAGTGAATGTAAATTTGTCTGTGTAGGCCATTTCAATTTCCTCCACATAAAACCACATCTTTATAGAGCTGGCTTTGTGCACAGGGCACCTTGACGCTGAAACAAATAAGAAACCTTCGCAATATGTTGCCACAAGTTTGGAAGCACAAATGTCTATCCTTGTATGCTGTACCACTAACGGATCTCTACTGGAAACATCTGAACTTAATTTAGTCCAGTAACAGCTACAGCCAAAGCTAAGTGGACATACCTCCAAATGATTTAAGTGTCCACAAATAGTTCTGTCATCTTCAAAGCTTTGATCATGCAGCCTAGATATTCTGAGTGCATTATATAACACAGGAGCATGCAAGTAGAATACTAATGTGTAAGAATCCAATAACAGACTGGAAGCATATTTCTTTCAATGATGAGATGATGAAACATAGCAAACTATAAAAACAAAAAGTAACACAGAATAATAAAGACTATAAAAAAATCAATTTATTGTCACTTATTAAATGTCATATTTTATGCAGAACCATTACATTTGCCTGAACCTTGTACTGATGTTTCATGGTTTTATGTTATATTATAGTGTACAGAAAGAGACTAGCACAGTCCTATTCAATAAGGCAGAATGCTAGTTGCAGCTAACCACAGCAACCAATCAAAATGTATCTTTGACTGACTCCAGCAATTTAAAATCTGTTATGGTTTGCTTGTTGACTAAGCACATAACTGCTGCTCTTTGTTCTGCTTTACTGAAGAAGTCTAACAGGTTTGATGTCTTGATGACCAGATCCAATACATATGGAGTCCTGAGACATTTACAAAACAATTATTCATATTTTATATACTTAGGTAACTGCAATCATATATTACAAGCCCAGCTTGTATTCCATCATCACGTGTGGCTCTCCCATCACCTCACTCTGAGAAGGATCTGAAAAATAAAATATACATATGTGAGCGACGCATCATGGCTGTTCAACTGCTACAGATAGTGCTTTGTCTGGGAGGGAAAGTGTGGTGTATTGTTGGAGCAAAGTTTAGATTTGAAGGGGACAGTGAATTTTACATACTCCTTCCTAATTGTGTTTTTGAAATTAGTAGAGAGAATAGTGGATCAGCCATTTCCATGCTTAACCCCTTAATGACAGAAGGTAAAACAAACCTTAACACCCAAACCCAGTTTTGTAACTTTGGCATGTGTTAGTAAATCCGTACATAACTATATACTGAGGCCTCATGCACACTGAGCATTTGCCCAGTTCTAAATGCCGTTCTCCTGGCAGGAGAAAAACAGGTGTTTAACCACTTGCCTACTTGGCACTCATACCCCCTTGCTGCCCAGGCCAATTTTCAGCTTCCAGCATTGTCACACTTTCAATGACAATTGTGCGGTCATGCAACACTGTACTGATGCCAAATGTTGGTAATTTTTTTCACACAAATAGAGCTTTCTTTCGGTGGTATTTAATTGCTGCTGGGTGTTTTATTTTTTTTTCACTATAAGCAAAAAAAAAAGAGCAAAAAATTTGAAAAAAAAAAAAAAAGTTTTTCTTTGTTTCTATTATAACATTTTGTAAACAGGTAATTTTTCTCCTTCACTGATGTGCATTGAGGAGGCAGCACTGATAAGCGGCACTGATGGGTGGCAATGCTGGGCAGCACTGATAGGAGGCACTGCTGGGCGGCACTGCTGAGCACTGATCATCAGTGCTGATCCGTCCTATGACAATTGCCGGTTATCGGCAGTACTTTCCTCACGCTGTAACAGCGTGAGGAAAGTGCAGCCGATAACCAGCAACTGCATTTACCGGTGATCTGCTGTGTCATTGGACACAGCTGATCACGTGGTAAAAGGCTGCTGTGATTGGCCTTTTACCTCATCACGTGATCAACTGTGTCCAACGCTTACTTAGATCAATCCCTGACCTAACTATTTTATACAGAGGGGAATTCTAAACCTAGTGATCACTGTGATTGGCTGTCACAGTGATCACGTAAATGGGAACCAGTCCTCCTGACTCCCGATTGTTAGTCCCATAATAGGAGCTGTTGGTTACTGCTTAGTCTCTGTGTTGGTGGCCAAACAATTGAGTGCATTCCCATCACAAAGGTATGCATGTTTGTTGCAGCAAGGCATAAAGGCCCAGTCTGTTTTATATATATTTTATAAAATGTCAGATAAATACATATCCACTTAGGTCTAATTGCTAAACATGTAAGAAACATATTTTGGATTGGACATTAGGGATATTTGAGATCCATCTCCTCATGGTCATTTTATGTAATCGGATCCATGTATTAACAATAAAACTGTGTATTTTATGATGGACATGTTAGGATGTTACATGTGCGTTGACCGAAATTCTCCATCCTTTAACTGATTCTGAACACTGGCGTAAAGTACTTATATATGGAAGTGGTCAACCCAAAGTTTGTATTAAGCCTTTAGGGTACACCCAGCAGTTAATACTACGCAGTCATCCATACAAAAGGTGTATTATGTCCAATGAGCTGGCAGATCCATAGGCTTACATTGTGAGAAAAAGAAATAAATACAGCCACTGTATAGCAATACAAAGCAGGGAGCAGAGGTTGAGTATGTAATGGGCAAATATTGCTGCATTATGGCGCATTACTTCAAGTATCTTAACTTGCGCTGCGGTAAGGCAACCTATTCATTTATAATGGGATTCCCATGCACCTGCAGCATTCATTTTTTTTAAAGAAAAAAATCTCTCTTACAGAATGTATTTTTTACTACATTGCACCCCAATATGCAGCTACTTTAGGTCTTAGTTGTGGTGCACTAAAATGTATGTGTTATGGTGACCTGCCCAGGCACTTTAAAGTGTCATTCAAAATATATGAGCATAGCACATTGCATATTCCTGCAGTGCACAGGTACAGATGGGGCCTAAATACATAGCCAGTTACATACAAATAACACAGATGAAAACCCACATATAATGAAGTAAGAGTCTAACTTCTTACCACTGAGGATATCTTCAAAGCCAATACACTCATCATTCCCTCTCAAGGTGTCCAGAGCAATGTTAGAGCTCTGTAGAAAAGGGAGACGTTGAACCTGCAAAACAGATGTACACAATATAGGGAGGTGTATACAAACTGACAACAGTTAAAATGCATAAGTACTGAATTATTTCCTACTTTTTTAGCACGAAAATGATTCAGTGCTTTTTAGGGTACTTAGAACCATTTATGTGACCTAACCCACAAAGGCTTCATTTTTATTATTAATATACAGGATTTATATAGCACCGACACTTTGCTCAGCGCTTTACATTATGGGGGGAGACAGTACACAAGACAGTACAGTAACAGTACGATTCAATACACGAGGGGTTCGAGGGCCCTGCTCCTTGGAGCTTACAATCTAGGAGGGAGGGGATAGTGGTACAGGAGGAAATAGCTGTGGGGGATGAAGTGGTAGGAAGAGTGGAGGAGGTCGGGAATTAGCTGAGGGCGGGGTAGGCTTCCCTGAAGAGATAGGTTTTCAGAGTGCGCTTAAAGGTGAGCAAAGTAGGTGATAGTCTGATTGATTGGGGTAGGGAGTTCCAGAGGATGGGGGAAGCCCTGGAGATGGGCATGGGAGGAGGAAACCAGGGAATTAGAGTAGGAGGTCTTGTGAGGAGCAGAGAGTACGTTTTGGGTGGCATTTGGAGACAAGATCGGTGATGTAGTTTGGGGCAGTGTTATGAACAGCTTTATACGTCAGTGTTAGTGTTTTGAATTTTATCCGTTGGGCAATCGGAAGCCAGTGGAGGGATTGGCAGAGAGGGGTGGCGGATACAGAGCGGTTAGTAAGGTGGATGAGTCTGGCCGCAGAATTCAAGATAGACTGAAGCGGGGATAGTCTGCGGTGAGGTAAGCCGATGAGGAGGGAGTTACAGTAGTCAAGGAGTGATATAATAAGGGAGTGAATGAGTAGCCTAGTGGTTTCCGGGGTTAGGAACGGTCATATTTTGGAGATGTTGCATTTATTTTGAGATATGAACATGACCTAGGTAATTTGCCATATACTATTATTTGACCTCATATTTTTTATTGGTGGGGGGAGGGGGATTTACAAAAGGTGTAAATATTTTTCTTATTCAAGTAAGCCTGTGTTCAATACAAAACCCCAGGAATTCAACAAATTGGAGATTTCTTTTTAGCATGATTGGTTGATCACTGTTAAAGCAGCTTTAAAGAATTATGTGAAAAACAGAGGGCGGAATTAACAAGTTTTATCTTAAATGGTGTTGTTGCCCACAGCAATTATTCAATTTTTCCACACAGCTCAGCTTTTAGCAGTGTATCAAAGAGGTTAATGTTTGCTTAGGATTGTGGTGGGCCTTTCAAGGCATTAGTGGACTCTTGAATGAAATTCACACAATCTATATATTTTTTTTAATTTTTTCTCTAACCATGTAAAACTTCATCAGAAACCATCAAATATAACTCTTGAATCTCAAAAGGGGAAGCTGCAGTAAATTTATCTAAATACAAGAGAAAATATAAAATTCTAAAATGTATGTTGTGCTTCCCCATTTTTTACCACTTGCAGCCCCTACCCATCCTCAGATGGAAGTGGTCATACCAGGATCGTGGCTGCAGCCACGATCCTAGTATAATTTTTGTTTAGCAGGCTAAGGGTTTTGATCGGATCACTTTTACAGGGCAGGGAAGGGGCTCTTAACCTCCTGCTGCCTTTCTTGGGCTCTTCTGTTCTCACAAGGAAGCCCGGGACCAACGCATCCTCTCTCATCAGAAGGACACTCAGGAGCAAGAGGAACTTCCATTCCTCCTCTGTGATGTAAGAAACCTAAAGCGATGAGGAGTTTGTCACTTCTGGTTTTGGCTGTTTGTTTACTAGCCATTACTGGCTAGGGAAGCAGCCGTTCAAACCAATCTTAGTTAGATCGGCAGCTTCGGAGGGCAGAGGAGAGATCGTAGTCTAATAAACACCAGATCTCTCAGTAATGAGGACCTATTACTGCCCAGCTATCACAAGGCATTTGTCCATTACTTGTGATAGCAATAAAGTTAGATTAAAAAAATAAATAAAATCTATATATACAGACATGGTGTAAAAAAAAAAAAAAAAAAAATTTTTTTTTTAAAGCGTGACATGTTAATTATCTATTTACTCAACGTAACGTCATCTTTTAGATTTAAAAAAAAATGGGCATTATATCGTGTTCATGTGCACTAAAATTCATTAAAGTGTATTTTTTCCTGAAAAATCTGCATTTGACAAAAAGCTGCACAAATATCACGTGACATAAACAAAACTGCAACAACCATTTCATTCTGCAGAGCCTTTGCTTTTAGAAAATACATAATATTTGGAGGTTCTAAGTAATTTTCTAGCAAAAAATACAGATTTTTACATGTCTATGAGAAATGTCAGACCTGGCCCAGTAGGGCAAGTGGTTAAACAACATGCTACTATAACAAACACACTAAACAGTATCCTACATTGACACTATACATGAAAAATGCAAAATTTGTATTGAGCTGTCCCTTTAAAACAAAGCACAATTGAGAAAGTGAGAAAGTGAGAAAGGGTTTGTTTTTGCTTGCATGCGACATTCTCTCCCACATTCTTGAAGCATATGGTCCACAAAGGCTGGAGTTAGACCGCCCTAATTTATATGATTTCATCATTCTAAACAGCTCACCTGTTTCACTGCCTGGAACTCCATCTGTAATTTCAGAGGAGCATGCAAGCCTTGAATGTTTCTTAAAGTTGAAAAGCTGACTTTCTCCTGATTAAGCTGAAACTGAAATATAAATGTATACATAAATGAAACTGATAATATGCAAAAAGTGTCATCATTTAATATTCAATGACAGACAAATAATAAGTGTAAAAATAGAAATAATCAGTGACAGTACTAGTTTGGGCTAAATACAATAGATAATTAAAGTGGAGCTAAAGTATTCTTCAACGATCCCCATCCCTCGCTGGTATCTTCTTCGGACTGCCGGTCTTTATTCATCCTCATTGTCAGTCTGTCATTTCAGCACACAGGCACTGTGCCAGCCAATTAAGCTCAGCTTACATGCCAGAGAATGGTAGGTAGTGGTATTTTATTGCAGAAGCAACATTTCATGTCCCTTCTGCAATAAAGTGTTATTAGACCTGTAATTTCACATCTGAATTTCAAGTATAAACTCAACCAAACTACTTAGCAATGACAGTAGAATAGGAATATGCTGATCCACATAGGAGTGATATGTCAGTAATGGGTGGATGCTGCAAGTGGAAGAAAGTGGAAGAGAGCCCTGTAATAAGGCAGCTGGGTCACAATTAGGCACTCCAATAATGTCAATTAATACCAGTTTTGACTGGACTCATCTTTCACTTGAAGGATTGGAAACATGAAAGCCCACTTTCTAAAGGCGCAAGCTCTTGGGCCTATAGTGAAGTCAGATAGCAGAGCTAACATCTTCTATAATACAGAACAGCTTTTCCATCTTGCAACAACCAGTTTACCTTCAGCTCATGTTCCAATGAACACACATATGCTGGCCTGAACACTATTCCATATGGCCAGGTCCAATTTATGTTCAATGGCTGGAATGGGGGACACAAGATAGAAAGGGTGTCCCAGTGGTGGGCAGACTAGACAGCTAAAACATTTATGTATCTACAGCTGAGCTATACTGTGTATCTTACAATTCAGATTAGGAAGTCAGGTTAACAATTTCAGTTATCCTTTAAAAGGTATGCTGTTGCAAAAATATTGTATTCTGATCATTGCATGGTGTTAATACTGAAAACGACTGCATTCAGAATCTGAATACCTATTTTTTTTTTTTTTTTTTTTTTTTTTAAAACTTCACATGCCTTTTTTCTGCACATTTACATGTAGGCCAAGCAGACTAGCAAAAGTGATGGTGAAAGGTGTTGGGAAAAAAGAACACTGCCAACAGTGCCTCCACTGCTCTGTTCAGCCATTGGAAGCAAATAAAGAAAACCCTGTGGAAGTTCTAAATGACAGCTCTCTCTCCTCTATGCTATCACTGGGTGCCAGTGCCATCACATTGGAGAAAGAGAAGCAAGTCAGATGCTCCCAATACTCAAAACTATCAGGTGTGATTTCCTAGAACACATCTATTTAATACAATTATATGTATTATCCCTTTGCAATTAGAAGAACGATTTTCCTGACAGGGGTCCTTTAAAACAGAAGCATGTATACTTACATTTTTTTCTGACAGCTCTAAAGAATGGCCTGGTAATAGTTCACTCTGTGCACTTGTAAACCTGCAACAAAGTGTTACAAACAAATAGGAATAATTACAAAGTAAATGAGATCATTTTTAGAATACAGTGGTTGGCATTAGTGTCACACTAATCTTCATCTAGCTCTTCATCTTTCAAATTTTCTGTGTCATTCTGGGTTCAGGTATGGCTGTTTTAGTTTCCTTACAACATGCCTTTCAAAATAGTATTTTGTATTAATTATTAATACACAAATGAAAAATCTGCCTTACTTTTTCTTTCAGCGAATAGTGGTAACTATAAATGAATGATGACGAAATTCATTAAAATAAAATAAAAATAAAAAAGAACCGCACCCTGATCGGAGAGTATCCTGGATTCCATAGCCCCCGTACTGGGTTGACAATTCAGTAATTGGGATACTGTCCTTGAGCTGAGAAGAAAGTGCCTTTGTATTCTGAAACACAGATTAACAAAATGCTATACATGACATACTTGCATCATAAACACAGAAGAGAAGTACGACAACTAATGCCGCATGCAATCTAATTATCATTCATACTTTTATGCAAGTTTCCTCTAGGTGCTGAAGAGTTCTTCGACAACACAAGATACTATAGAGGACATCAGGCCATCAGCACTGCACATCATGTGACAATGAAGAAAATGCCACTAAATGATTTCCATACAGGTGTGCTATATTCCCCACAAATTATTATGTAGCTGCTACTTACATCCATGTACCAAGCACAGAGCGTCAAGTCAATGTGGAATTAAGAAGCCATTTAATTCAATAAAAGAGACACTATGCAATTTTCGTTCTATGGCATCACATTGAACTTAGCAGGCAGCACACCAGGACTGCCTGTACATGCTCAGTTGAACCCTATAGACCTCTTTGGGGATGGGCAGCAAATAGAAGTCCATAGGGTTCTGCTGTCCATGTGCGGAGAGCAATACGAAGAGGATGGCCCATTGTTATATCTGTAAGAACGCAAGGGAGCTTGATTCCAGAATTTGGTTAAGTATGAACCTGAGAAGGGGGAGGGTGGGTTGGAGCTGCGAAGTCCAGTTGAACCCTGTTAACCACTTGCCCTCCAGAGGATTTACCCCCCTTAACCACTTGCCTACCAGGCACTTATACCCCCTTATTTACCAGGCCAATTTTCAGCTTTCAGCGCTGCCGCACTTTGATTGACAATTGCGCGGTCATGCAACATTGTACCCATATGAAATTTTGATCATTTTTTTCTCACAAATAGAGCTTTCTTTTGGTGGTATTTAATCGCCACTGGGCGCTTTACTTTTTGTGCTATAAATAAAAAAAGTGCAAAAAATTAAAAAAAAAAAAGTTTCTTTGTTTCTTTTATAAAATTTTTCAAACAGGTATTTTTTCTCCTTCACTGATGTGCGTTGATGAGGCAGCACTGATGGGCACTGATAGGCGGCACTGATGGGCAGTGATAGGCAGCACTAATGGGCACTGATAGGCAGCACTAATGAGGTGGCACGGATAGGCGGCACTGATAGACAGCACTAATGAGGTGGCACGGATAGGCGGCACTAATATGCAGCACTGATAGGCGGCACTGATAGGTGACACTGATTATGGGTACTGATAGACGGCACTGACTGGCATCACTGCTGGGCACTGACTGGCGGCACTGACTGGCACAACCCCTGGGCACTGACTGGTGGCACTGACTGGCAGCACTGCTGGGCTGCACTGGTGGGTGGGCACAGGTGGGTGGGCGGCACTTCTGGGCACAAGTAGGTGGCACTGCAAAGTGGCACAGGTGGGGGCACTGCTGGGCACAGGTGGGGGCACTGCTGGGCACAGGTGGGCGGAGCTAGTGGGCACACTGCTGGGCACAGGTGGGCAGAACTTGCGGGTGTCACTGCTGGGCACCGATCATCAGGGCACTGATCATCAGTGCCCTGATGATCGGTGCCGATCCCCGCTCTGACAACTGCCGGTTCTCGGCAGTACTTTCCTCACGATCTGACAGCGTGAGGAAAGTGCAGCCGAGAACCGGCACTTGCATTTCCCTCTGATCAGCGTGTCATTGGACACCGCTGATCAGGTGGTAAAAGGCCGCTGTGATTGGCCTTTTACCACATCATGTGATCAGCTGTGTCCGTAGGACACAGCGATCATGGAGATCGCCGGGTGCGCGCCCCAGAGCGCGTTCTGGGAGGACGTCATATGACGTCCACCCAGAACTGGCCGGCCGCAGTGCAGCCATCATTCGGCTATCTGCGGTCGGCTACTAGTTAATGACCAGACCTCTTTTTGCTACTCGGCGCTGCACTAATTCAACTGATAATTGCGCGGTCATACAATGCTGCACCCAAACGAAATTTACGTCCTTTTTTCACACAAATAGAGCTTCCTTTCGGTGTAATTTGATCACCTGTGCGCTTTTTATTTTTCACGCTATAAACGAAAAAGGCCAAAAATTTTGAAGAAAAACAATATTTTTTACTTTCAGCTATAAAAAATATATAGTAAACTCAAAGTTGGTTATAAATTTAGGCCAAAATGTATTCTGCTCCATGTTTTTGGTAATAAAAATCCCAATAAGTGTATATTGATTGCTTTGTGTGGAAGTTATAGCGTCTACAAACTATGGTATAGATACTGCAATTTACCCCATTTTTTTGCGCTAGTTTAACGGACAATTGCGCAGTCATGCAATACGGTACATAAATGAAATTTACATCTTTTTTTCCCCACAAATTGAACTTTCTTTCGGTGGTATTTGATCGCCTGTGCGGTTTTTATTTTTTGCGCTATAAAAAAAAAAGGCTGACAATTTTGAGGAAAAAAAAAAAACAATATTTTGGACTTTTTGCTATAAAACATGTCCAGTAAAAAAAAAAAATGCAAAAATCAAATTTAGTCATAAATTTCTGCCAAAATGCATTCTGCGACATGTCTTTGCTAAAAAAAAAATCCCAATACGTGTAAATTAATTGGTTTACGTGAAAGTTATAGCGTTTACAAATGGCGGGAAAGATACTGGAATTTTTAATTTTTATTTATACTAATAATGGCGCCGATCAGCGACTTGGCGGCAATCAGCGACATATGGCGGCGACCAGCGACTTATGGCGGGACTGCGGCGGACATTTTGACACTGGGGGGGTATCTGACTTGGGGTCACTGACATCCCCAGTGACACCAATACAGTGATCAGTGAAAAAAAACCCCACTGAAACTGTACTGTCACTGGGGAGGAAGGGGTTAACATTTTTAGAATTTGCAGTGTGAGTGTTTTACTAGGGGGCGGGGGTGTGTACTGGACGGGGGAGGGAGGGGGGAGCTGATCCAGGGAGAGAAACTCTGCAGCTTCTCACAAGCTGTCAGAGAACTGACACAGAACAGGGCTGTGTGTAAACAATGCAGCCCTGCTCTGTGTCAGCGATCACCGTCAATCGCAGGAAAACGGCCGGTAAAAACTGGCCGTGACCCATCAGCTGACACCCGCGGGACAGGTAGGGCGGCGCGCGCCCCCTACCTGTTTTGAAGGCAGCCGTTTTAAAACGTGCTTTTGCCTACGAGTGCCGTCCTGCCACCGTTTATATGCGGTGGCTGGGCGGCAAGTGGTTAAAGCAGACCTTCATACACACCTCGTCTAGGTGAGAATGACGTTAACACTGCACCTGGAGGACCCTGGTGTATGTAAGGTACATCACCAGAGGCATCACGCAGTGGGTTCCAGATGACAGGAAGAAGGAAGATGGCGGCGCAGGAACCAATGTGCGGCAGTGGAGGAGAACACTGTATACTATAGGAGTGCAAGTACCGTATTTTTCGCCGTATAACACGCACCTGACCATAAGACGCACCTAGGTTTTAGAGGCAGGAAACAGGAAAAAAAAAATTCTGAACTAATGGACTACAGACACAGTACAGGAGATGACCAGAGACTGCGGACAGCACAGGGATGACCAGAGACTGCGGACAGCACAGGGATGACCAGAGACTGCGGACAGCACAGGGATGACCAGAGACTGCGGACAGTACAGATGACTGCTGACCTTTGGGGAAGTGGGGAGCGGGTACCTGAATTTGACTTTTTTGTTTGATCTTACCTATTCCTCGATCCAGCCGCGCGCTGTCTTCCCGGCTTCTGTAATGGCGCTCGGCATGACAGCCAGGTGCCCAGTGCGCATGAGCGAGAAGCACTTGCGCTTTGTGATTGGTCCGGCGGCTTCTGGGATCTGTCATGTGTCCCAGGTACCGCCTTACCATTTACAAAGAGCACCGCTTCTCGCGCATGCGCACTGGGCACCCGGCTGTCATGCCCAATGCCCACACTACAGAAGTCGGGAAGACAAAACGCCGCTGGATAGGGGAACAGGTAAGGTCCCGCTGCAGAGCTGAGCGGCTGGCCCGGTATTCTGACACGGCCGCGGTGGAAATACCGGACCGGCCGCTCCATATTCGCCTTATAAGACGCACTGACATTTCCCCCCCCAGTTTTGGGGAAGAAAAAGTTTGTCTTATGCGGCGAAAAATACGGTATGTTTTTTTTCATGGATAACCCAGTGGAAAATGTAAGAGGGGATTTAAACAAAGGGATAAAAAAAAAAACAAAACACAACATCACATGGGAGGTGAAATTCCTCTTTAATTTATTATTGTGTTGCAGCCAAGCTGCTAATTTTTATTGTGATGCAGCCATTTTTATCTGCTAATGGGGCAGCACAGTGGCTAAATGGTTAGCACGTCCGCCTGGCAGTACTAGGGTCGCTGGTTCGAATCCCAACCCCGGCACCACCTGCCTGGAGTTTGCATGTTCTCCCTGTGTCTGTGTGGGTTTCCTCCGGGTACTCTGGTTTCCTCCCACTCTCCAAAAGAAATGCTGGTAGGTTAATTGGCTCCTGTCTAAATTGGCCCTAGTATGTGTATGTATGAATGTCAGTTAGGGACCTTAGATTGTACACCCCTTGAGGGTCAGGGACTGATGTGAATGTACAATATATATGTAAAGCGCTGTGTAAATTGACGGCGCTATATAAGTACCTGAAATAAATAAATAAACTGCATCAGAAAGGGTTAGAATACCTACAATAATGCAGCAGCACTGCTCTTCAACAGTCTCACCCCCCCTGAACAATGTTAACAGCTCTGCTCAGAAGGAAGTGCACCATTGCTCTTTAAACCCTTGCTGTAGCACTTGGCAAATAAAAAAAAAAAGAAATATGACATGCATTATTGTCATAACTTAAGAAGACATGATTGGGTTTTAAAGTACAACTAAATCCAATTGGTGTAGGACTCTAAGCAGCACTGTGTCCACCTTAGTTTTCATGATTACGACTGTAATAAGTATTTTTACCAGTGCAGCATTTCTTTTTTTTATGGGTCTAAACACGTTGCTTTCTATGGGCCCATGCACACAGCTGCATAAAGATCCATGAAATCAACAGAAAAATCTGCTTGTCATT